AACTAGTCTTTATATTCCGATCTACGAAATCGCTCTATTGTAAAAAAAATTATTATTATTATTTTGCTTATATAAAATTTAAAGGTATGCATTTAATTATTAACACATGAATAAAATAAGTGTAGAAAAATAAAGATTTTGTGTTTTGTGATATATGAGATAAATTATGAGTCTTTAATGTGTGTTTAATTTGCAAAATAAAAAATATTTGATAGAACATTACTGCACAATACATAACAATTTTTTATATTTTAGTGTGTTTGATAATAGATGTATTGGACAATTTAGAGAGAGAGGAAAATTGATATAACTATTAGGAGTCTTTCGTCTATTTTATCAAGTCTCATAATTAGTTTTTAAAATATATAAAATATAAACTAATTGTATATTTTCAATAAATCAAACGCATCTATAGTAAAAAAAAATTGTGAAAAACTAGATTTAAATAATTAAATGGAAAAAAAAACAACTAAAAATAAAGAAAGACTTAAAAATCATAAGAGAAACTATTAAAAAATAGACTTGATTGGAAACATGAAATTAGATACAAAATGATATTACTATTATATATATATATATATATATATATATATATATATATATATATATATATATATATATATATATATATATATATATATATATATATATATATATATATAACTTAACATTTTGTTAAGTTTTATCAAACAAATTAATTGTGATGTATACCATTAACACATTAAATAATTTTGTATTAATGTAATGTTTTATGAAATAAAGGGTGAGTTTTGTTTTTATGGTGTAATTGTACAACACGTTTAAATTTAGAAAGCTGTTTTTACATCCACTCATTTCTCAAAAACTACATTCCTCAAAATTTACCAACTGTTACAGTGCAACTTTGTCACATTTCAATTCCTTATTTATACTAAAACCCTCTAGCTGAATTCTGTAAGAAACAAATCGCAATGGCCATGGAAGAATTCATCTTCAACACTCTCATTTCAACCATTCTCACCCTGTTAATTGGAGCCTTAATTTATCGCATAAAGAAAACACATACAAAGAACTGCACTGCACCTCAAGCTGAAGGTGCATGGCCTATTATAGGTCATTTGCACCTCTTTGGAGCTCAGAAACTCACACACAAAACACTTGGTATGATGGCTGACAAACATGGACCAATTTTCACAATCAAACTTGGTTCATACAATGTTCTTGTACTTAGTAGCAGTGAAATGGCGAAAGAATGTTTCACTCTTCACGACAAAACATTCTCCACTAGACCCTTTGTTGCAGCCTCAAAGTTAATGGGATACAACTATGCTATGTTTGGTTTCACTCCTTATGGTCCTTATTGGCGCGAGATGAGGAAGTTAGCAACAAAAGAGCTTCTTTCGAATCACCGACTCGAACTGTTGAAGAACACAAGAGTAACTGAGATAGATGCTGCAGTGAGAAGGCTTTATAGGTTATGGACAATAAAAGGTTGTCAAAACGAAGGAATTTTGGTTGATATGAAGGAGTGGTTTGGTGATTTGACGCATAATATTGCTTTGAAAATGGTGGGAGGGAAGCCATACTATGGAGGTGGTGAAGGTGAAGGTGGGAAGTATAAGGAAGCTATGAGAGATTGGGTGTGTTTGTTTGGTGTGTTTGTGTTTTCTGATGCAATTCCATTTCTGGGTTGGTTTGATGTTAATGGTTACGAGAAGGCTATGAAGAGAACTGCGAAGAAATTGGATAGTTTGGCTGAAGGGTGGTTGGAGGAACACAAAAGGAAAAGAGATTTGGGTGATGTTGGAAAGGAAGAACATGATTTCATGGATGTTATGTTGAATGTTTTGCAGGATTCAAAGATTTGTGGTTATGATTCAGATACAATCATCAAGGCTACTTGTCTGGTATGTTTCATACTTTAAAATATTGGTTTGGATGAAATATGTGAAAATTCATGGTGGTTTTAATATTGGTTGATTTGGTTTGATCTTTTCTTATAAAGAGTACATTTGCAATAATCTTAAAATTTAGTAAACTTTAGTTTGAAGAGGAGTGTTAACATGTATATTAGATTTAAATTATAGTTTGTTGTGTAAATATCTTTATGATTATTTTTGTTTGTTTTATCCCAATAATCAAGGATTTAGTTGTAGATTTAATTGTTAATCACTTGATTATAAATGACAAAAGGATAAGAGTAATTTCTTTCATCCAATTCAAATCATCACATTCAACATTAACCATAAAATGGATATTTTATGTTTGGATTGGATGTGAGTTTGAGTAAATCAAAAGTGACACCATAAATTGGATTGGAGGTGGGTTTGACTAAATCAAGGTGACACCATGGTTTTGATTAAACTCAAGAGTAGCTTTATGTAGTTTTTGTGTAGTTTTTTGTTGAAGTCATAGTATCACCGTGATTTTGTTAAAACTCAAGTGTAACTTTGTGTAATTATTGTCTAAGTCGTGGTCATATACTACACTACACCGTGATTCAATTAAAAGACACTAATTTTATTGAAACTTAGTTTTGTGTAGCATTTGTTGAAGTCATAGACGTACACTATACCGTGATTCAGTTAAAAGTCGCTGATTTTTGTTATGTTTGATTTAGCGTTGAATTTTATAAAATTGCAGTGGATTTCCACGATTACATAGAAGTTACCTTTTGGAGCTAAAAATCACAGTTTAGTGACATCTAGATATGAGTTTTGATATCTAGACGTGAGTTTGGTTGCTTAAACGCCAAATCAAACGCACTATTTGTTGAAACTCAAGTGGAGCTTTGTTTAGCTTTTGTTAAAATCGTAGAATCACTGATTCAATTAAAAGTCATCGTTAATCCAATTATTACTAGATGTGCTGAAACGTAAAACCAAACTGTCTATTTGTTAAAACTCAAATGTAGCTTTATGTAGTTTTTGTGAAAGTCGTGGAAGCACTATGTGATTCAAATATTATTAGACGCTGAAACGTCAAATCAAACTGGTTATTTGTTGAAACTCAACTATAGCTTTTGTCGAAGTCGTAGACGCACACCAATGCACACCTTGATTCAATTATAAGTCACCCTTGATCCCAATATCACTGGACGTTGATTCAATTATTTGTTGAAACGCCAAACCAATAAGTCTATTTGTTGAAATTCAAGTGTAGCTTTGTGTAGTTTTTGTTGAAGTCATAGAAGCACTATGTGATTCAATTAAAAGTCATTGTTGATTTAAATGCTATTTAGACACTGAAATGTCAAACCAAACAGATTATTTGTTGAAACTCATCTGTTGATTCAATTATTTGTTGAAACCCCAAACCAATAAGTCTATTTGCTGAAACTCAAGTGTAGCTTTGTGTAGTTTTTGTTGAAGTCGTAGAAGCACTATGTGATTCAATTAAAAGTCATTGTTGATTTAAATACCATTTAGACACTGAAATGTCAAACAAAACAGGTTATTTGTTGAAACTCAACTACTGAAACTCAACTGTAATTTTTGTCGAAATCATAAACGCACACTGACTCACACCTTGATTCAATTAAAAGTCACCATTGATCCAAATATTCATAGTAACTTAGGATTTATTGTATTAAGACATGTTACCCTCTCAACTTCTCAAAAATTTGTTTTTTTTTGTCATATATTCTGATTCAGTACAACATGCTTCTTTTGTCATATATTACCTTTTCAATTTGGCAATTAACTTTTGAGTATGTATTGGCAGAATCTGGTTTTAGCAGGAAGTGACACCACCGTGGTGACTCTAACATGGGCACTATCCCTATTACTCAATCATCAAATGGAACTCAAAAAGGCACAGGATGAGTTGAACACTCATATTGGGAAGGACAGGAAGGTGGAAGAATCTGACATAAATGACTTATTATACCTCCAAGCCATTGTCAAGGAAACATTGCGACTCTATCCACCGAGTCCAATTATCACCTTGCACGAAGCAATGAATGACTGCACTTTTTCATGTGGCTACCGCATTCCTACCGGTACACAGTTGATGGTGAATGTTTGGAAGATCCACCGAGACAGTCGTGTTTGGACCGATCCTCATGATTTCAAGCCTGAGAGGTTTTTGACAAGCCACAAAGATGTTGACATCAGAAGTCAGAACCATGAGCTTGTACCTTTTGGTTCTGGAAGGAGAGCATGCCCAGGGGCCTCGTTGGCTTTGAGAGTGGTGCATTTGACATTGGCTAGACTGCTACACTCATTCAATGTTGCTTCTCCCTCAAATCAAGCTGTAGACATGACAGAAAGCCCTGGACTCACAAATTTAAAAGCAACCCCAATTGAAGTTGTTCTAACACCACGCCTAAATACCAATCTTTATGAAGACTAGATTATAAATGAAAACATCAATTAAATGAAGAGAATCACAACTCATTATAATAGGCTTGTTTTACTCTAAATAAGGCAACACTTTTCGGGGTTGCAATAAGACATTTTACGGAGGTAATATCTATGAACTATGATGCATTATAATAGTTCATATCTGGTACAATCTTCAGTACTGTGCTAATTCCATCCTTTTGCTTCACATTCCCCGATCTTACAATCTATCAGTCATGTCTATACTTTATCAGCAAAAAGGCGTGGTTGAATAATTTTCATGTATTTTATGCGATCATCAAACAAGATAAAACCAGAGTATGAATATAAGCTTAAGCCTGAAACATCAAACATATGTACTTCATACAAAAGTCGGTTTGCAACCAAAGTAAAAGGACCGGCCAACACTGATATACAAACTCAAACATCAGGATATAACTTTACCATGTGAAAAAAAATATGAATTTGAACATTACACCGTGAACTGTGGCATGTGCTGGCTGACTCACCAGCATTCCCTAACCACGTGAAATCTTACCTACCCGTGCCTAGTGCATCTTACAAGTTAATAGCTTGTAGAAGTTACATTTTCTGTTACTCCTAATTAGCAATATATGTACAAGGACAGAATTCAAGTCATACACAAGTATGACTCCTAACTCATGCCTGAACTAGCAATCAATGAGATAATGAACTCGCCTCAGTGCTATACATCGAGTACTCGCTTGAGTTAAAGTTTTGCTTCTCTTCACTCCACTTCAAAATTTCCTTGGCATATTTAAGGGATGCATCAACACTGTCTGGTTCCAACCCCTTCACCACAGAAACATACAACTTTCGTCCAGTAAGCGATGAATAAAGCCTTTTAAACTTAACCGCTATGTAATGGGAAGCCAGCTGACCAAGGGAGGGGTTACTATTAATGCTGTTGCTATTGCTGTTGGTGCGATTGCGGCTAGTTATTGGATGAAAATCAGAGAACCAATCACACTTGGTCAAAGGAACTTGTTCGACTTTCTCCTCAAAAAGATCAAATTTGTTCAATATCAACATGAATTCCATTTGCTCAAAAGTTGGATGTGTGACAATGGTTTCAAAAAACTTCATGCTCAATATCATCTTGTTAGTGAGATAACCATTCCCATCGATAGAAAACTGATCATAGTCACTCAAGGACACACAGAAGATGACCATTTCAACATCCTCAAACATCTCTAGCCACTTGCAATTTTCTCCTAGCCCCCTTGAATGCACTCTAATTAGTTGATACCTGCTAACCAACCAAAAAGTTATAAATTATCCGAAATATTCAATAGCAATTGAAACAATATCTTTTTAAACTCCCGATAACTATAAAGAAACAAGTTATAAATCTGAACGGGCCAGTGTGGGTATGAAATACCTAAACTTGCTTCCAAGTCAAATTCACATATATAAAAATCAGCAACATTATTGGATACTTCAGACATTATTTAGATATGCTTTTGATAAATGCATCTTTCTTATGAGAAACATAGTTTAGCTTTTACACACTGAACCTGATTCTAAAAAATACTTGGATAGCCCTTCCAATATGATAACTGCCCTTCTATCCAATGAATATAAAAATTGACCTAAAAAATTAAATTAGAAAAACTACATTTGGGACTACACATCCAATATTTTTCTTTAATATTTAGAGGGAGGACAGATACAACCAGGGATCAACAAAAGCATTTTAATAGTGGTAGGAAAAAAAAATTCATCAACTTCATAAGCTCCTTGCTACAATTCTACCACAATCCTGATGTAGACTAGCATTTACATACCCATCCTATTGGCAATTTTACCAGTGTTATTTTCCAAGAAGAAAAACAATGATAACAGCAATTGGGTTAATCAGGACCACAACCCATTTATGAGATATAACAACAGGCATAAATAAATTTGTTGTTCAAACAAGCACAAGATATTTACACTCACCTAGCCAAAGAGTCATATTGATCAGTAGTGTCTCCAGTTTCTTCGGGGGCTGATTGGGGAAATGAAAACTCCACACAAGCCAACCCATTTGATGAAGTAACTCCTTCAGCATAGAGGATGTCTAAATCCGAGGGCTCATAATCTGTCCTTAATATTTTGACAGCCTAAACAAAATTTGTCATGTTAGATACATCGTCCATTAACAGCACGTGATGTCAAAGATGCTAACCCTGCTATTACAATTAATTTGATGAAAGAACAGATACGAATCAATAGAAATCAAGGAGTGTCTTACCCGCTCTAAGAAATAACTGGCAACACTAGGCAACATTTCCAATTCACTTTTTCTTTTGTACGTGGCCTTAATGGCAGGATCATTCCACAATTCCTCAATCAATGGTGCATATTCACGAGTAGCAGCAGGAAAGATTGCGTCCAGTTTGCCCGATGCCATAGTTTTTAGCAACCAATCAGAGAATGCTTTCAGCCTTGGACCAATGGAATATACTGTCTTGTCAACAGGATTAGAACTGGTTCCTGTATTAAATCATGATCATAACCAACAATCTCTTAAAATAAATGGACACATTAAATTTGAATCCTACTTGCTTTATATAGAGAACTGTCTATCCCTTATCCAATAAAATTGGGAGAGATCCTACTATTTTACTGACTATCATGCAGTTGCATATTACCTAAACTGTTTGGAAGTACAATATAATATTTCAAGCTCTAACAAAGATAAAGATATCCAATTACAAAAGAAACTTTAAACATGACACAATCTATAACAATCAGAGATAAACATTGAGATTATGCAACCTGAGTTAATGCACAAGACAAATAAACTGATCTGAAAAGCAGCTCATACTTTCAACATACCAATACTTTTCACAAGAGACTATATATGAAATATGAATCACGCTGTCCAAAATAATAGATGTACTTGTATTTCATGTCAGTAATTTTCATTTTGATAAGAGAATTTCCCATAGAAATATATGACGTATTTTAACAGTCCACAGTAGACACTGGTCAGAAATAAGATAAGTTGCAATTCTATTAAACCCTAAGCATTATGAATGAGCTGCTTATATTGTGCCAATTATGAAGAGATAGAGGTCAATACAGAACTACGAACTACAGCAATTCGACGATGCCTTAAATACACATGCAAGCATGGTATAAACATGTAAACATACTAGAAATTGTTAGGGCAGGCATTTGACAACTAGATAGTGAATAAATGGTGTTTTAAAAGGAAAATAGCTTGGTTTTGAGTCAAAAACAACAAGAATAATAATAAGAATATTTCAGAAAGTGACAACACAATCTTACCTGTTGTATCAAGCACGGAAGATTGCCTTTTCTTTGAATCTGCCAATATTTCATCCTCAAAGCGCTCACGGCCCTCAAGGAGTATGCCAAGGTAAGTATAAACATTGGTCTGAATGGTCAATAATATATTTTCATGCTCATCTTCTGAGAAGGGAATGCTTTTGTAAAGAATCTTGGCCTGCCATACATATTTGCAATACTATGAATACGCCAATTATTAGTTGCAAATATAGTGATTTCAGTGTTGTCAATTGTGTATAGCATAAAATAGAATATTTTTAAAACTCCACCGTATAGAATATTTTTAAAACTCCACCGCACATTAGTATTATAGCATGCCACTATAGCTGCTATTTGACAGTATTTTGTACTGTATAACATATAGCATAGATGACAGAAAGGAGAGTATCATAGTGGTTTAACCACCTTCATTTCAGCCAGAGAGAGAAGAGTATCATACTCCATCCGGTCCTATTTATAAGAGAAGATTAGTTTTTTTTTCCTCCGTGCTATTTTTCAGTGTATTAATTAAGTAATTATAGAATTTCCTTGAAGGTAGCATTAACTACCCTGAAGGTGGTTCCTTGATCTTTGGATTTTGGTAATTTATTTCTTATATATAGGACTAGAGGGGAAAATGATTAACATATAGATAACCTTTTGTAAGGTAGATGCTATTACTGTGTCAGCAATATATATGACTATCTAAACTTAGAAAACTCCCAGAGGTTTCTCATATTAAAGTTTTCTATTTTTTTTTTTTTGCGAAGGTTTAAGTTTTCTAAATTAAGAACATCAAATCTGATAACTCATGTTTACATTACATACCATATTTTGAAAAAAATATCCAAAAAAATTATGATGCATAACTTGATTAACAGGCTCAATTACTCAATTTAAAAATCACCTGCTTAAAAATAGTGCTTGTTCCAGAGCCACTGCAACCAACCAAGAGAAGCTTCTGAACTATTCCATGCTCAAGGTAGTCAGGATTCGATCTGCCGGCCATATTGGAGTGTTGTTCTCCAAGAGAATTTGAAGATTTAGAAGGAACTGGCAGGGACAGGAAAGCACATACAAGCTTGGTTCCAGCCTGGCAAGTAAAATAAAATAGTATGTAGCAAATAACATTGGGCTAGAAATAAATAAGAGACAAATACATTTCATAGAAAAAGTTACCTTTCCCCATATATACCCTCGTGTATTCTTCTGTCCCTCTTCTTGATAGGAACCATCCTCATTGACCCAAAAATGTGGGTTGCCTGCACACTGAACTCCTGCCAACTGCACAACCAAAACATAATTCCTTCAACAATTTTGTTTTAAAACAAACAAAATATATACAGCTATTAAGATAGAGTCTTTCCAAAATTATTAGTGTGTATATTCAATTTTCAACCTGCAACATTCGAAGCTCCACTTTTGTAATTTCTCGACCATTTACGAAAACCTGTGTGTTTCCATTGCTAGCATCTGGTTGAATGGGGCTTCCAACATTCAGATGAGCACTAATTATATTGGAAGGCTTCTGTCCTTCCTGTGAAATCACAAACCAAAACCAGCATCCAAAATTAAACATAAAAAAGCAAACAGCGTTCAAATCACAAATGCATGGAGAGAAATCATACAAATACGAATTAATATATACCTTCCCCCAAAATCCAGATACTTTATCGTACCAATAGTTTCCTGGCTTAAGCTTCTTTGGAGGATTTGGACAGTTCTGCAAGGTAACCAGTTCTTCATAAGAAAGTGGTTTCCCATTCACACAAATGTATTCGGGTGGAAGCTGATTTACTTCACAAAATTTCTCTGCTTTCATTATCTGTCTAACCTCCAACTGACTAAGCAATCGCTTAAGCATCCGAGAGCATTTCCCTAAATTCGCTCTATTGGATTCGTCTATAGAAAATCCAATGCAAGTAACACATTTTCTACCTTCAGGCATAGACCCCATTGCTCTAAGCACACAATTACTGCAATACTTTGCATCACAAACCAAACAAACCTCCTTATCAGTGAACCTATTCCCCTTAAAACATCTATAACAAGACCCTTTTTTCCCCTTTGTTAGAGGCTCCCTTTTAACGGGTCTTGTAACAGTTTCCTCAACATCAAACTCATCATGCAAAGCACCATCATCATCATCGGTGTCCACATCGAAAGTAACAGCAGGAACACGTTTAGGATCACAATCCTCAGCTTTCAAAGAAGAAACGCGAGTTGATGGATACTCTAAACTCAACACTGACTCAGCAGAACCCCAATCTTGTTGGTTTAACTCGTTAAAATCAAAACTCCCTTTCTCATCATCATTCGAAACCCTCAAAGCACTAAACTCCAAAGTACTAGAGCTTCTAGTTCTAGTGCTCCTACTAACTCCACTCGGTAACTCACTCGAGCTTGATTCTTCACGCAACCTCGAAGAATCACCAACATCTGAAAACTCGCCGGAGACTCCATTTCCATTCGAGAAATCAAACGGCCCGGAGCTGCTTAACTCACCGGAAAGCTCACAAACATTACTCTGAGAAGCTCGGTGATCAAAGGCAATAACAGAAGTAGGAGAAACTGTTCTCTCTAAAGCTAATTCAAGCTCTTTAGAAACCCTAGATTCGGAGCTTAATGCTCGAAGCTCTTTCACAGTATTATGGTGCGGTGGAAATAGAGGCTGCACAACCGGTAAAGAGAGAGTTTCAGAAAGAGGAACCTGGGAAACAACAGCTGCCACCGGAATGTCGTCGACGGTAATTGGAACTGCTCGGGGAAGATCGTAACCTAATGGAGGTCCATCATATTCGACGGCAAAGGAATATTCCGGCGCCGGCGACATGGTTGTGTAGCCCTAATCCGAAGCTAAATTAGGAAATGCAATAACAATAAAAACCATGAAAGAAGAAAGAAAAAAAAAGGAAATGGAAACTTGTTTTATGGTAGTAAAAGATTATTGCAATTTGCGAAAAGGATTTGGTATGTGTGTAAAGAATAATAGATATAGGTTCAGTGTAGCGTGCAGTCCATAATAGATTAGGGAAATGAATTGTGCAGTGTTGTAAAGAAAGAAAAAAGAAACAAAAGGTAGTAATAATTTTACCAATAATAATAATTTATGCTGATAAATATTTTACTTATAATTTGTTAATAAATATTTAGATTTTTTGTATCAATTAGTGTAATATCTAAAATTTTAGCAGAAACAAAATATTATTTTTAGCAGAAGTGAAAAAGAAAGGAGAACACGGGAATTGTGGAATCTTTGTGCTTTTTGTTTGGCGAATGTGGGGTTGGAAGCTGGTCACCACTTTTTTTGTCCTTTTGCATAGTTCAAGTTGGCATCCTATTCTATCCAATTTTGTTTTTTAATCTCTACTAAGTTATTATTAACTACTAATTACTCACTCTAATCTTTTAATTTCATTTTCTTTGTTAAAGTACAGTATTTCAATTCATATGCTACTTTTAAACTATTTTTTTCCTTTTTCTATACGTCTCTTATATATGTTATTTAAAGCACTTTCTCGTCTAATTTCCTTTTCAGTTAAGAATGGGTGGGTGGGGTGACCCAGGTTTTGGTGCAAATTATACCCCACGAACAAAAAGGACTCTATTAATTTGACATGTTTCAATGATGAATGAATTAATGAATGTTAGAATTTTTATATTCTCTCTATATAAAAATTAGTAGTTGTTGTTTTGTGTGTTTTTTACTTTGTTACGTTTTTTCACTTTCCAATCATCTGCTATGTTACGAGCACGTTATTGGATTCTAATTCGAGCTTGAGAGTCGACATGAGTTTTTCATCACTGTCTTGCGTGTGATGCTTTCCTTCATTGGAGTTTTCTGTTTGTCACTCTTGGGATTTAATTGTATATGTGAGTGTAACACAACCATATATAATGCAAACAAATCTTGTAAAGGGTTCAATATAGTAGCAGATTTGGATTAACTGTGTAATACTATATATCAAAGCTGTAAAGATAATTAATTAATCAATATATTATTGGGTTGTGAATGAAACCAAAATTATGAAGAGATGGGAACTCACTTTACGTCACCACTGTTACTTTTCAGAATTTTTCACATTTGTGCCCAAAATGCCACTTTTATACAAATAAATACTGAAATGCCATACTTTCAAAAACGAAAAATTTTTTAGTTGAAGGCAACCGCCCATTCATTGGACGGAAATGTGTGAATTTAAAGGCAACCGCCCATTGGAAGGGCAGCAATGACCACACTTAATTTTTTTTGGCTGAAAATATATTTTTAAATATTAATATATATAATTATTAATATATATTATTATAAAAATAGAATAATAATATAAATTTTAATATATGTTAATATTAATAATATTAATATATATTAATATTTATATTAGTAATAATATAAGTATTAATATATATTATTATAAATATATCTTAATATATGTTTTTAAATATTAATATGTATTATTATTAATATATATTATTATTAAAATAGATTAATAATACTAATTGTAATATATATTAATATTACTAATAATATTTTAAAATTATATTTATAATACTAATAATACTAATTTTAATATTAATATATATTTATAATACTAATAATATATATTTATATTAATATTATTAATATATTTTAAAATTAATATTAATAATATTTATAATATTAATATACATTAATATTAATAATATTAGTATTTATTAGTATATGTATTATGTGACACTATTATTAATATTAATTTAAATTTATATATTGAAGACATAATTTATATTGATTGAAATTATTAACTAATATTAATTAATACATGATGATTAATAAAAGGACTAACGACTACTTGTTCCCACATTGGGACACCGGGTGCGATTGTGTCCCGTTTGACGACACATGGAACATTTTCTCTCAAGCTTATCAAAGTTATTCATTTCTGTTGTAATACGTGTGCTTACAGGGCGACCTTTCTTGTTCCTTCGCATTCTTGGGTTATGGCAAATTTGATCTCCTTCATAAACAGGCCAATATTCATCGCATGGCATCACTGGAAAACTTGCGCTGTAAACCCCAAATAGGTTTGTAACCCTATAAACGTCGGACAAAAGAGTGTAAGCGTCGTGGCGCACATTCGAACATGCAGCGATAACATGTGAGCAAGGGACACGAAATGCTTGAAACTTTCCGCAGTCACACCACCCGTTCAAGAGGTCGACCTTATAATGTCCCATAGGTTTCCCCTCACCATGGTCCATTGTCTCTTGCACACTGAAAACATTGTTCCTGTAGTCAAAAATTCTTACTTGATGCGTGCTGGATTTTGTTGTTTCTTCTTTCATAACCTTGAGGCAGTTGTCTGTAAATGCTTGGCCAGAATTCAACACAGCACTCCACTTTCCACCCCTTTCAGCAAATAAAGATCCTAGTCTATAATACGTTGCCCTTACCAATGCCGTAATGGGCAAATTACGTGTGCCCTTAAAGACGGCATTCATTGACTCGACAAGGTTGGTAGTCATGTGACCCCAACGTCGACCGCCGTCAAATGCCCTTGTCCATTTTTCGGCTGGAATATTGTCAATCCACCTTAAAGCATCTGCATTTGCCATGCTAATCTCTGACCGATAGTAATGAAATGTTGGCTGGTTTAAAGCGTATCCTGACTAATTAAAATATCATATTAAAATATTGACAAAATAATATATGTTATTGACAAAATTTAATGAATATTAAGAAATATAGTTACCCATGTTAATTATTTTTTTCCGTAGGTTCCTGTCCTTGATTTCTCTCATAAAGTTTTGTGCAATGTGTCGGATACAATAAACATGCACTGAAGGGGGATCGTGCCAACCATTTTCCACATTGTTGTATGCACTTTCAATTGAGGCATGTCAGTCTGAAATTAAACATAGATCTGGTTGTGGGGCGACATGCCTCCTTAAGTTTCTCAGAAAAAAACCCCAGGCTTCAGCCGTTTCACCTTCTACAAGGGCAAAAGCAACCGGAAATATGTTGTTGTTCCCATCTTGTGCAACTGCGATAAGCAGTGTACCCTTGTACTTACCGTATAACCAGGTTCCATCAATTTGAAGTATAGGTTTGCAATACGCAAAACCTCTGATGCATGGTTGGAATGCCCAGAATAGCCGGTGGAAGATGTGTTTCCCTTCAACAATAGTTCCGTCAGATGTATGCATGGGTAGTGTTTCTATTTCCAGCACAGTGCCCGGAACATATTTTTTAAGTGCTAACAGAAAATGTGGAAGTTCATTGTACGAGCTTTCCCAGTTACCGTAGACTTGTTCAATTGCCTTATTTCTTGCTATCCATGTCTTTCTGTAAGACGGAGTAAAATGGAATTCGGAAACAATTTTACTTATGCAAACACTAACCTTAATAGAAGGATCTCTGTCTACAAAAGGCATTAATTTTTGAGACATTAACTGCGAGGTTAGTTTTTGATGATCTTGATTGAACAAAGTTGTTGAACAACTATGGGGTGGGTTCATAATGCCTATCTCCCACAACTCACTTATTTTTCGGTAGGACGCCACGAGACGGAACTTGCAGGAATCATTCCTGCAACAAATTATGTATCTCTTCTTGTCGGAATCTATCACTTTGTAATCCACACAGTGTTTCATGTGGTATTGCTTAATGGCAGCGACACAGTCAGCTTTATTTTTAAATTGGTAACCGACTTCTATGTCACCTTCCGCGGGAAAACGAGGATTCTGTGGCCAATCAAATGATGTTCCTTCTACGCTTAGTGGCAGGGTTGTCATATGCGCTGGTGGGATGAATACATTTTGAAGTGGAACACATTGATCATCTATGTTGACTTCGATCCCTTCCTCAAACAAGGTAGTATATAAATCATCAACTTGTGCCTCGTTTTCTTCTTCGCCGTCTCCGTCTTCAACATCTTCGTATGGAATTATGGATGGATTGATCACCTGAGAAGTCTGCGTTTCTTGAACTTGTGCGAATGTTATATATAAATCAATGTACTGAAACCCACAACATTCATGATTCGAGAACATCGTTTCAACATCCTCGTCGTCACGAATCTTCAGTGGAACAAATTTAAAGTGATTGTCGCTGAAACGGACGACATTTTTGTACATCATCTGTGACACTGATCCAGCTTGCAACTTCATCTGTACCCTTTCTTTGAAATGTTGGAATGATGATCTTCTATTAACAGCGAAACGAATTACGTCAGTGTTTTCAAATATCAAACCCACTTCGTCTGATACAACAACACTTCCATTAAAATGGGCGTTAACAATATGTTGTTGAGCACTAGACATTATGTAATAGAGGTAGAAGAAAAATATTTTTTGAGTAGAATTATTTGGAATTGTTTGAGTAGGAATTGAGATAGTAGAATTGTAGTAATAGAGGTAGAAGAAAAATATTGTTTGAGTAGAATTATTTGGAATTGTTTGAGTAGGAATTGAGATGGTAGAATTGTAGTAATATAGTAGAACCAGCCATGCCATGCATTCACGTGACATTTCTAATAAACCCAGCCGCCCATTGAATAGGCGTTGGTCAAACTATTTAACACACAACCGCCCATTCCAAAAACGGATGTCTGCAAAGCATTTATGCTGTCTGAAGATAGCCGCCCATTCCAAATGCGGGTGTCAGGGAATTTAATGCACAGCCGCCCATTCCAAATGCGGGTGTCAGCGTAAAAGAGACACAGCCGCCCAATCCATACGCGGTGGTCAAAGTCTTTTAAGACTCTGCACCCATGCAGCCTACACGTCTATGCATGCAAAAAAAGAATTTTTTACATTTGTGCCCTAGTATTGGAACATATACCCCAAAATGCCACTTTT